CACTGCAGCACACCTGGGGTGTTATGAAGGTGCTTTAAGAGCTCCAGAGTTCCCCTTCCAAGAGGGCAGCTCAATGTGTAACCTTCCTGCATCTTCATGGTTCTGTGATTTATTAAAAAAGAGCTTGGACAACAAAGGATGAAGATCTGTTCCCCTTGGTGTGTGACTGTGCCACTGGCATTGCAGGTATCTGGTATTTGCAGCTGCTGGGTCAGTGGCAGTGTTGTTGTTCTCTGGAGCCTGAGGGTTGATGTACTTGTATTTGGGGCTGGCTGAGCACTGAGTTCTGTCTCCCTGCTGTCCCAGACTGCTGCCTGGCTTTGGTGGAGGGGTTTGTGTCAGGTTGGCAGCAAACACATCAACACCTGGTTGTGGTGCCCTCCCTGACCCCAGGGGCCAGTGGAACACACAGTCCACTGAGCTCCCAGCTCTGCTTGTCCGGTCCTTGCTTTGTAATAAATGTCACCAGTCTGGAGCTGGGATTTCTGTGACTGGAGCACCCTGGGTCTCCTGCATGTCAGGCTGCAAACCCAGGGCAAAACTTCCTTTGCCATAGGATGTCCTTGTCCCAAACCTGATGTATTCCCTCCATGTTCCCTTCATGCTGTAAAGGCTTGGAACAGAATTATCTAGAGCTGATGCACAGCTGTGTTCTACTTACTAACAGGTAGCAGCTGCATTACATTTACTTTAATGCCTTTACTTTTTTTTGGGATCTCACAGCTCCTTTTCCTAGCAAACCCTAAAGGAACAGTTTCTTACCAAGTAAAGGCAATATTTCTTCTCCAGGAGGCTGATGTGTGTTAAAAATGTATTAAACATGGGTCTTGCACAGCACAAACCTGTGGTTTGCAAGCTGCTGGGTGTGAGTTGGTGACAGGGGAAAAGCTGAGCCCTGAGCAGGGAGATGAGAGATCTGCAGCCCACAAAGGCTTTTTGGGGGCTGATCACCCAGCTGTGTGAAAAGCAGCACTGGCAGCCCTTAACTGGTTCTCAAGAACTTGGGAAAGGAGCAGGCAGGGAAGGCAAGAAGTCTGAACTCTTCAGAGCTGCCCAGGAAGTCCTTGGAAGGAAAGGTGGGTGCAAATTCTCTCTGGTTTTGCTGTTGTTATTGTTAAAAATGCTGTAAGTGGTGGCCTTGCTGTGGAGCATTTGTAATTTTACAGTGAAGACCTTCATCAGCCCATGTGAAGATCTAAATGTGGTTTAACAGACTGCATGACAAAGCTTTAAATACCTCAGACTCCTTTTAAAGCCTGTTGAAACTGTACTGCTAAAGCAGCTGTAACTATTTTGGATTCTCTAACCTGTGCAGATTGCTGGATTTTTTCAACCAGGAGGGAGCATTTTACTTTCCCTGGGCCTTGCTGTGTAACAGGTGACAATATCAGAAGGGTTTTTTTTAATTACTCCTTGTGCTAAGAAAATGCTGATTGAACTTGCTTAGAGTGTAGAGGTGGTGCAAATTACAGCGTGTGTCTCACAGGGGCTGTCAATTTTTGGGTCTACTGATAGGCTCAAAACTAAGGTTTAAGAGAAGTTTTATTACAGAACACCCATGTGCTGTTGTTATGGCTCAGAAATTGTTTTTTAAGAGCTAAGGTTTTCTGGTGTGTCTTGGGGAAAGCACATGGCAAGAACGGGCTGGGGATGGGCTGGAGCTCATCTCCGAAAATATCTGTAGTGCAGCCAGACTTGTGAATTGTCTGTAAATCAGGGTGCAAGACAGGAGGCAAAATTAAACGGGATTCTTCGAGCAGGCTGGAGTTTTATTGTTCAGCTGAGATCTTCCTAGAGCTGCCTCCACTGCTTTCTGTGAGCTGGAGTGATTCTTGCTCTGCTGGGTATGACCTGGGAGCAGAGGAGTTGGGAAATCCTTGCAGGGTTTGGGCTGCAGGTGTGTCCTTCCATTTCTGCACAGGAGCTGTGTGTAAGGAGAACTTGCTGTTTCTACAGAAAATCTGTGTATTGAGTTGCACTACTCCTCCTCAGCTTTTCCCTGTGATTTCCCTTGTGATTCCTGGCAGCTTTTTGGATTCTTCTGCCCCTCTCTTGCTCTTTGAACAGCAGAGGGGAAAAAAGCCCTCAGACGCTAAAAATAAGGGAGAGATGTGTATTTTTAGTTTTTTTAACAAGTCTAGTCAAACCACATTTTCCTCTCTGTGCTTTCCATCAGAGAAGCTGGGTTAAAATTCCACCTGGAGCGAGGGCTGCTTGAATGCCATCCAGCAGTGAGGCAGAAATGTGTCTCTCTGTGGCCAGGAGTGCACTAAAAAAAAATGCCACAGGAGAGTGAGTTCTGAATCTCTGAATTCTTAGGATTTGGGTGGATGTGGTTAGATTTGAGCCTGTTTCCCTGTGGCTAGAGCAGGTTTCTGGGCTCTCCATCCCCAGATTCCCTGCAGGTGGGGCTGTGAGTGCTGGAAGGAGCTGGGTGTAGCACTAATTGCAGAGTGTGCATTTAATCCCAGGCTAAGCCAGCTCAGCTGTGCCTTTCCTGGTGGGGGGACAGGGCTTTGCACAGCCCAGTAAGCAGGTCCAGCAGTGTCTCGGGGCTGTTTTAAACCTGCAAGGTCGCTGCTCTGCTCCCTGGATCGCTGATGGCGCTGCAGCAGCTGCCCCCTCTGCTCTGCTGTGCCCAAGTGATGGGGATCCTGTGGCTAATTGGAGGCAAATGTGGGAGCCACGTCTGGCTGAGCAGCTCCCTGCAGGTGGTGGGAGATGTGACCTAGTTGTCAGTGGAATCATCCTGCATGCTCGGAGAGCCGTGAGCTGCTCTGACAGCTGGAGAGAGCTGACCTTGGAGCTGGATCTGGGAGGAGGGAAAAGCAGGGGAGCTGAGGCTGCTGAGAGCTGGATGTGCTCTCAGGAGAGGTGTGAGAGGGAGAAGGGAGCTGTCTGGAAAGCCAAGGCTGGTGCACTGGAGAAGGGCAAGGCAGGAGGAGGTTGTGTCTTTTCCATTCGGCCGTCGTGAATTCCCTTAGGATATTGTCTTGTGAACTTCCAGGTCTGGATTTTTGTTGGACTCTATCAGTCCTACTTCATCTCTGAGTCACAAACTTCTTGGTGGGGGCCCTAAAACTACACATGGTGTGTGATTTCTGAGCAGTGCTTTGTGTTAAAAGTGAGGGCTGTGCGTGGAGAGAGCTGGAGAGGGACGTGGGAAACCTCCTGCCTGAGCCAGACATGGAGAGAGGAGTGATGGGCAAAATCCTGTGCTCAGAACAGCAGGAACAGAGGCAGCACTGAGGTGACCCCAGCTCTGGGCTCTGCTGCTCCTTTTTCCCTGCTCTGCTGGGATTTTTTTCATCGTATCACAGACACCTTTTTTCTGTCCCAAAGAACACCAAGTGCAATATTCTGGTTCTGCTGTGGATGAATGGATCCCTCAGACTCCAAACCTGCCCTCTGGGGAGGCAGATCCAGCTCTGGAGCCCTGTCCTGCCACAGGCAGGGTGACAGCAGGTTGCTGCCCCATCCTCAGGGGAGTCTCCTCCCTCTCCCTTGCTGTGTGGCTGTGGCAGGTGCAGGGAGCAGTGTCTGCATCCTGGGCAGCATTTGGTGAGGGCAAAGGGCCAGTGAATAGTGGGGCTGCATTAGCCAGGGCTTGCCTGCTGTGCAGAGGCTTATTAGAAAGCAAAAAGGCTTTATTTTAGGCTGGGATTCACTGAGTGTGTTCAGGCAGATGTGTGAGCCCTGGTTATTTCCACGGCACTATGGCCAGCAGAGGTTTGTGCTTCCCCAAAACTGGGCAAACTGCTCTTTGACCTTCTCAGGCTCCATGGGCAGCACTCTGTAAAATACAGGCTGTATGCAACTGGTTTCCTAAGAAATTTCTATTTAACCTACTTGTTATAGTGCTCCAAGGGGAACCTGAGGTGTTTGTATTTTGTAATTCTTGATAAGTCAGTGTTTCTGCTGGTGGGTTTCCAAGAAAAAAAAAAAAAGAAGAAAAAAGGTAGCTCTGGGTCAAATTCTTGCTCTTAAACCTTTATATTTCTTAGTTCATAGATTAGTCCATGCCTCTGCTTCCTGTCCTGTGGCTGTCAGTGTCCTAAATGCTCTTTGCTGTGACATCAGTCCTCCCACAGCGCACCAACTGCAGCTGTTTTGGCCTTTGGGGTCCTCAGATGACATTGAAGGGAAGGGTCACCTGCATTTTTTTCAGTATCTCAGGGATATGAGTTACTTTAACCCTCACTGTCCCTCCTGCTGCAGAGAAGATTCCTAAAATTGGGGTTTTCCTTGGACACTACCATCTGCTGCTTTCTGATGGAAATTAGCAATTATGCAAATTAGCAATTAATTATGCACGTTAAGAACCAAAAATTTTCTCAGCGAGCAATCCCCAACCAATTCCAAACTCCTGCACCAAAAAAAAACAACAAAAAACCTCTACCTGCAACATAATGTGGGGGGAAAAAAGAAACGAAGGAAAAAACAACCCCCTCAAAAAAAAAAAAGGGCAAGCCCCAGTGCAGATTGTGGACAGGAGTGCTGGGAGTCACTGCTGGTCCTGGGAGAGGGAATTCCTTTGGGAAGCTGCTCTGCTGAGCCTGGAGTTTCTCCAGGTAAGAGCAGAACTAAGAGATGTCAGAGCTGTCCTTTAGGGCTGGCACAGCAGCAGGGAGCAGAACTGGTGTGTTTAAACTCTGTTTAAACTCTGTTTAAACACTGCTGTGAGAACACAAATGGTGAAGAAAATACCTTAAGAAGCCACATTATAGACCTCTTGATTTCAGCCAGGTTAAAATACGAGTAATCATGTTTATAATAATATGTCTATGTAATATGAGCCATCCTGTGATGCTGCCACATCAGCTGCAGTGGAGATACCTCTGTGTGCACTTCGGGCACCCCCCGGGCTGGAATGATTCCAGGGTGTTGTAACCAAAACAGATTTAAGATGCTTAAGCTGCCAACAGCCTTTTCCACTGAGTGTGTATAAATACATGGGGTTTTTCTCGTTGTTAGAAGAGCAGAATAAATAACAGCAACTGTGTATTTTAAAATTACATTGTTAATAAAATCCTGGTACATTTACATAAATGACAACATTAATGTACAATTAACAAAGCATTGTAATATTACAGCAACAAAAGAGGACCTACATATTTGTACAGGTAGCTGGAGCAGCTATTTGAAAATACTTTCCAAGCCTTCTGTGGTATTTCTCAGACCAGTGATAACTTTGAACCCCCTGTAAGGCTTTCTGCTAATAAATAGGGTTACTGGAGCTAGTGATGTTCAGAAGCAGATGTGTACCTAAAGCACAAAGGGAGTGTGCCCTGACCAACCTGTCAGCTGACTGAAAATCCTTATCCTTGCATGCAATTTGCCTCTTGTGTAAATCCTTTAGGACTGAGGCCGTGTCAGCTCTTGATGGATTTGCTGGGAGATGCTGCAGTTCCTTCTCCTTCCCTGCATCCACCTAAACTGTGTCTGTGTTGTGCTTTGGAGCTTGGGCCCAGCTGAGCCTCCTTCTTTTCCAGTGTGTTTAATTATACTATTGATTGATTGCTGAATTTCTAAGAAGGAACAGCTCTCCCCTGAAAACTTGGTTTCCTCTTCTCCTTCATTCATTATCTAGAATGAATGAAAGGGTCTTGGTGAATGCTTCTGGTGGGTGCAGGCAAAGCTCAGTGGGAATAGCTGAGCTGTTCTTTTCATTAAATCTGTTGGTGAGAGCAAGGTCTGTGTTTGAACCTTCCTGCAGCTGGGATTATTTAAAATAAAAACACACACAAAACCCCACTGCTTTAGATTCCAAACTGTAGATTGAACTGTCTGCTTTTTCAGCTAGGATGAGGGCCTTTCGGACCAGAAACATCTGTGAACAAAGGAAAAACGTGAACCTTGGGCACTGGAGTCGAGGCATCTCGTTTAAGGCTGCAGCCGAGCCCCAGGACCCTGGCAGGTGTGCAGTGTGCCCAGCCCCCTGAGGTAGTGTATCTGTGGAGACAGCAATCCAGGGGCCAGGCTGGGGAGTCCAGAGCTCAGAGCTGCTCATTCCAACCTGCTCCAGAGCTCTGGCTTCCTCTTGGGGAGACTTTTATTGCTATTCATGCAATTGGGCAGTTTTTAGCACAGCTCTCACTACACCTGAGTCTTCTAGAAAGTGTCTTTTGTGGCGTGAGGTCTCACGGATAATGTCCAGAAACAGGGTTTGAAGGTGAAAGCAGTTGAGACTATCAGACCTTGACAGGGAAAGGGCAGACAGTCTTTTTATATCTCCTCAAGATAAAGCAAGATTAACAACTAGCACAGTGAAAACATAACAACCTCCCAACTCTGCCCTCCCTGCCCCAGCTCGGTTCTTCATATAAGGTTTAAAGAACGAGTAATTTCAGAGTTGTTAGTATTAGTTTCTACTCAGCTTTCAACATCCAAAATGTCTCTTTCAAGGTGCAAACAGTTTTAGGGGAAAATTTCTGTCAGTCTGTTGCCATGTACAGACACTGGTGGTGTTCCTGAAGTAGTCTGTGGCACTGGCTCATCGGATGGGCAGCGGATCAGAAAACTCCTTCTGTGCAGCCTTTTTACATGGAAAACCTCTGTTTGTGTATGAACTAGGTGGTGTGTAGACACTTAAACCTGTGTATTAGGTGTCAAGTCTAGGTAAAACTGCCTCTTTATCTCCAGCCCTGCCCTGTGCTTGTGGAAAGAGCGGTGCTGATCTCTGCGCTTCAGGTTCTTCCCTTGCACCCCCAGCCCTCGTCTGTGCCGTGCCAGGAGCGTTTCTGTGACAGCAGCAGCACAGAGAAGCCAAGCTCCCCCTCCCTCAGCACCCTGGCCCGGGGGTGGCTGCTGCAGGGGGCTTTAGTGAGATCCAGGAGGCAAACAGGACAGCCACGGCTCTCCTGGCGACGCGTCCCAGTGCCCCGTCCCGCTCACACCCTGGAGGTGACGTACACGGAGTGCAGGCGCCCAGCCAGGGCTGTCTGCAGGTCCCTCAGCGGGTCCAGGCCCTGCACTTTGCTGTTCCTGCTGTAGATGAGCTGTCTGAACGAGTCCTGCTCCAGCAGGGAGCTCATGTGCTTGAGGAAGAAGCCCTCGCAGAAAGAGGCCAGTTCGGGTGCGTTGTGAATCTGTGGGAGAGAGGAGGATTTTTTGTAGCCTCAAAGTCCTAAATTACTGATTTATATAAAATCCCTGAGCCTCTCATTTCTCATGCTTTTTCCCCTTTCCTAAGACAGAACAAGGGCAGTGGGAAAGCACTGAAGGCAGGACCAGCGCTGGCCGATGATTTCTCCTGGTGCTTTTTGCAGGCACAGGTGTGAGCAGGGAGGCATCCAGGCTTTTTTAATCCCTTCCCCTGCTGGCCTGCTGTTGGCAGAGCCCCTGGCCTGCACTCCAGCCTGCTGATCTTCAAGGAGCAGAGCAGCTGGCTGATGAAGTGGCCAAGGTACCTGTTTAGCTGTGACACACAACACTGCCCTGCCAGATGGCGAGCACAGCTCAGGGCAATCAGGACACGGTTCATGGGAGCCTTGCTCCTACAAAAAGGAGATGGATGGGGGAGAACAGGGATGTTAACGCTTCTAAACCATACTGGGGGATTTCTGGCTGGGATCTTCCCTTTGCTTCAGAGTCAGGCCAGCAATAAGAACAAAACTCAAGTTCAGCATTAAGAAACTCTGTGCACATACAGCCTGTTCCTGGGAACTTTGATTAAGTTTTAAGGAATTCAGGGAAAAGTACTAAAGGCCTGTACTGTTTCCCCTCTCTACCACTGCATACTGTTAAATTTTAGGTCCTGAAAGAAACCAGCCTGAGTTCCATGGGAAAAAACAGCCCAGTGTGAGAGTCAGGAATTGAAAAGCCTCAGTGTGACACTGCACACAAAATAAAGTCATGATCAGCTCTCTGTTTCTTTTGCTTAAGGGGTTTGATCCTGCAAAATTCCAGGAACAGCAAAGTATTTATGATTTATTGATAACACGGGTTATTTGCTACAGAGGTGAATATCTGCCACACAACTGAGTTTATGTTAATTCTGGAACTGTAAGGAATATATTCCAGCAGCAGGGGTGCTAGGAAAGGGTTTATTTCATAGCTGCTGTGCTGTGATCAATGGCCCCTGCTGCTCCCGGGATTTGAATCCCTCGGGCTTTGCTGATGTTGCTGGATCAGCCTGCTCAGACAGCTCTCCCCTCCTCTGCAGGGATCCCCCCTCAATTTCCCACATGATTGCTCCAGACAGGAAAACACGCTGGGGCTGGGCAGGACTTCACAGCCTGGAACTGGAATCCATCTCACTTTGTGGTGGGGCAGAGTCACCTGCAGGGAGGTGCCCACCCGTGCCTGTGCTATTTAGTTCCCAACAGGAGCCCGTGGGAAGAATCCTGCTGTTTCACTGGGATTCTTAAACAAGGGGGGTCGGCATTTACCTTTGCATATTTATAGATGTTCACCGAGTTGTCCATGCTGATGGTCTGGGCACAGAGGATCTCGCAGTGTCTCTGGAGCCCGTCCAGCTGGAACAGGCTGGCAGCTGACAGCAGCTATGGGGACAAGAGAGGAGCAGCTATTTGAGACCATGAGCCTTGAAAGGCTTAGGGAGGGCAAACAGAACGGATCATTTCCTCTCTGAACAGCCTCTGCCTCCCTGTTTTAATGGCCAAGTCCTCGTGAAAGAGCAGAAAGGCCACTCGATGCTGAAGTGATTGACAGACACACTTCCCCTCTTAGCAAAGGCTCCTCAGTGCAGGAAATGTGCTCCTTTCTGTCACAGAAGCACCAAGCAATGACGTTTTGAAACTTCTAAGCTCATTTCCAAGTGTTAAGAACACTCCTGGATTGTGTGGGAGCTTGCTGTTAGCTCCTGGAGTTTGCCTTTCAGCTCTGTTTATGCCCCGGTGCACTTGGCAAGACTCAGAAGAAAACGCTCTCTCACCTCTAAGATATCGGTGGTGGGAATTTCCATGGATTCTGTTCCTCCATAGTATAAATACTGCATCAGCATCTGGAATGGGAAGAAGGCCAGGCATGAAGTTATCACTGAAGGCACAAGGGGCTGTTGATGGCTGTGCTCCCCTTCCTGAACAGACGGGAATCGTGTCCTATTCCGGCTCTTGCCTCCGCTGGTGGCTTTTTTTTTTCCCCTAGCGTTGCAAATCTGCTTCTTTCCAACAGTCCTTTCTCTCTGGGGCTCTGAAAAGGGCCCTGCTGAGGGTTTCAGGCTGAGGGTGACAGTGTGTCCCTGTGAAGCGGTGTCTCAGACCCGGCTGCTCACGCCAGAGCTGCCGGCGAGCCCAGACGTGTGTCCCGGGGACCTCCCAGCCACTCACCTTCCCTGCTGGGCTTCTAATCAGCTTCCAGCCCCCTGCCAGGGCCAGAGGAAAAGGCCTAATTGTTTTCAGGGAGAGTGAGAGGCAGCTTTCCTGCTCTTTGATGTGCATGTACTCACCCCAGCCCGAACGGTGCCATCTTACCGGGGACGGGGCGGGATTTGGCGCTGGAAGAGTGTCCTGGTGCTGTGTGAGCAGCTGTGGGGCCTGCAAGCCACGCTTACCATTTCCCACAGGGGTAGTAACAAACTACGCTGCTATTTTTAAACGTTTTCTATTTGTGTATATTTGTATATATAACAATTATACATTCGTATATATAACAATTGCAGGGGAGCAAAGCTGCTTTCCAGCGGGACACACAGATCTCTGGTGGCTCAGCATCCTCCACTGTAACTGAGATTGCATCTCCTTCACTCCTCTGATTATATTTGCCATCAAATTGTTTAACTCTGTGGAGCATTTCACTGTTTCAGTTCACTTCCCATCTCCCTGTTCTGTACCTTTCTTCCAAATCTGAAATGCAGGTCTGGAGATCTGGAACTCCGTAACTATCACATGTCACTGACTTCTTTTTTAACTTTGTTGTGTGTAACCTGCTTTCTCTCCATCATGAATAATCCTCTCTTAGGTCCATTGAATACATAAATGTCATAAGAGCAAAGTGTAAGTCTCAGTTCTGACCCTTTCCTGACAGGAACACCATTGATTTCTGATCACCTGATTGGAATTATTAATATGAAGCCTCGTAATCCACCTGCTATAAATAATTTACTTTTGTTTATTTAGCACAGCATGAAAATGGTGCTGTACAAAGTATGAAAATGGTGTCTTAAAAGCATAAAATGACTTCAGTAGAAGGCTATTTTCTCCTGCTTAATGGAAGAGTCAGCTGCCGAGTAAGAAAATAAGACTACAGACTAGAGGATTCTGTTTTAAGGCTGGTCCTACCTGAGAAGTTTGGAAAAAGGATCAGAATACTCCTGAAATTCAGGTGTACTGAAAGGAACTCCATTTCTGCTTGTAAATTGGCTATGATATTATGTCTTACCTTCCAAGTAGGTGAGATGATGATAAAGAATAAAGCAAAAGTAGAACAAGTTACATACCTTGAAAATATTGTATTTCATATCACTGATTTCAACAGTCTTGCTGCCGTGGCTGTCGTGCTCTGTTTTATTGGTCATCAGTGTCTTAAACCTGGAAATTGTTTGAAAAGGTTGAGTTTAATTAAATTTTAGATTGCTGTGTTAGTGTGGCACATATTCATCAGCTACTGACAAGCAGCCAAAGCAAGGGGAAAACAAAGGTCCTTGTTCTTGTTTGCAAGTTGAAAATTGAAACATTTCTTTCAATTTAATATTTAGTTCAGGGCCCATTTAACCTACAAAGTGCTTGGGTCTGATCCAATCCCACCTTGTAATAGTTGGAAAAGCCTATTACTGTGCCAGTAATAGAGAAAATAACTCGTGTTTTGTTCTGAGCTTCATGATTAGTCAGAACCACAAAAACAGTAATTCCAAGTGTCCCAGCTCACTGTGAGATTCCAGGAGGGCTGGAGTGAGCGTAGCTCTCACTGCCAGCTCCAGGAGAAGGAAGGGGAATGGATGTGTAAGCTCCCAACCACTGCACATATTTCTTAGGGATAATCAGGTTATTTAATGACATCCCTGGTTAGTGACTCACCTGTTAGATGCAGTAACCAGCAGGACTTTGTGTGCATAAAAGAGCTTTCCTTCTACTAAGAAAGTTACGTCGGACATTTCTTTGTTGTTCAGAAAGTGAGGATCTGTTGGGCGAGGGGAGAAAAAATATATATAAATAAATATATAAATATTTATAAACTTTGACTGTTTTTAAAAAAATGAAAAAAACCCAACCACAACCACGAGCACTTCCCTGTGTAGGTGAGCACCTTACCTAGGCGAGCTGGCAGCGTCTTCCGGATTTCAGGAATGCTGGGGATCGGGCTGCTCCCGTAGCAGTGGGTGAAGATGGATGCAAGCTGCTGGTTGATGGAATCATTCTGCGAGGGGCACGGGACAGGTGTTACCACTCTGTTTGGAGCAGTTCACTTGAGGCTCAGAGCAACTGCACAAGGACAGGAGTAACTTCCCCCCAGAGGGACAGGGACCTGAGCAGGTGTGTCCTGACAGAGAACAGCCCATCAGCAAGAGCTCAGACCCTGCTCTGGAACAGATGAGCCCACAAGTGCGTCCTCAGCCAGCTCTGATTTACACTTCTAGCTCCTGGTCAGATCCAAGGCTGTTCCTAGTCTGCAGCTGGTTTTAGTCAGCCAGTTCCACCTCTTGCTTTTAATTTCAAGGAGACTCACAGTGCATGTTGTAGTGACCAATTACAGAGGTATCAAGAGCTGTGTCTGCTCCTCAGCTTCCCCCTGTCTGTGCATTTCAGGACCGTTTTGGGGGCTGTGTATGAGTTAAGATAAATGCTATCAGTGCCATTTCCATACCAGAACTCTTTAGGGACTTTGCACTTGTTCTTGTGCACAACCTCGTTCAACAACAAAACCTCTGATTTTCACACTGTCACAAACTAACACTTACTTTGCTGGTTTTGAGGATATCAAACATGAGCTGCAAGCCTTCATTAACCAGTTCTTCATTGTAATCCTCCTCTTTGATGGTGACAAACTCCCTGAGGAGGGTCTGTACCACGGAGTAGCGGGACTGGTAGAAGGTTGTCCGTAGGGACTCGATCCACACGTGGAGCTTCCAGGGAACCCCTGCAGCCACAGAAAAGGAACAGGGAAAGATGATTTCCTGAAGTACCTGTGAGTAGATTGTCCTGCTGCTATTACTAACACTTGGCAGCACTGGAGCAGACCATTCCATACGTGCCAACAGCACACACATTTTTGTTTGATATGGAAGGTGACTGAACTGGGTCATTGACAAACTGAGTTATCCACACAAGCAAAGGATTGGTACCAGGATCATAAATTGGAGCTCTATCCTGATTGGTAAGGACCACAGACTCCCTGTTTTCTTCTGAGCTTCATGATTAGTCAAAACCACAAAATAATTCTGAACTGAACTTGTAAGAATACATAACCCTACACAAACATGGGGTGAGGGGCCTTTTCTCCTGGTTACCTGTAACACACAAGCTTTAAAGCTTCTCTTTCCTACCTTTAGATCAGGTTTCACCTTTAATCATTTAATCTCTGATGTTATTTATGGTTCTGAAACCAGCCTGAATTTTAGGTGTCAGTATCTGACAAAGGGATATTTCTCTTTGTTTTGATATGTGGGGACAGAGGATCCAGCCAAGAGTGAGGGACATCCCACATCAGGATTTTGTGAAGAGCCTTAAACACTTTTTTAATTTTAAAATGTTTAAAATTACACAGCCTGGGATAGCTTTGCAGTTGGGGTCAGTGCTCCTGCCAAGTGGAAAGGGCAGAGGAAAAAGCTTTTTATGCCTTAAATGAGCACAGTGGTTGAGAAGAAGAGCTCACCCAGCGCCCTGAGCTCCATGGTGATGTCCACGTAGCCGTGCTCAGCGCTGTAGTACATGGCCTCCTGCAGAGCCTTCATCCTTGTCTTGCAGAGCTTGACCTGGCCCTCACTGGAGCTGCCCTGGCTGGAGGTGTCACTCTCCACCCCCTCAGCCAAAATCTCCTCCAGGGAGAGCACATCTCCCTTCACTTGCTGGGGCTGGGTCAGCAGCTTGCGCAGGACGTTCCTGGGGAGGAAGAGATTCCACTTATTAATAAATGAATTATCCCTTCAGACAGGAGTGCGCTGATTTAGCTGTGGGGACCTGGCTTAGTAAACAATTTCCTTCCCAAAGACTGCCTAGCAGGCACTGTGCAGCAGCATTTAAACCACTTTTCCTTCCTTACCCCACATCCTGAAGCCCTGTTTGTGCACATGGACTGTGCCCCTCATGTAGTGGGTTTGTTTGGAATTTCACACAGCAGTCGCAAGAGAGAGGCTTTCTTGTTTGTGTCCAGCCACTTTAGGAAGTTTGCATCACTGGTGTCTCTCAGCCAGCTGGAACCATCTGCTCCAGACATTCCCAATCCCGGCAAGGCCACCCAGCGCTCGGCTGTGCTGCTGCATTGCCACCAGCTGGTGCTCTCCTTGCACCCACACCACTCCCTGTGCCCAAAGCCAGTTAATTTGGGTCTTTGGGATGCAAGAACAAACCTTGGATTTCACAGTTTGCACGGTCAGAAAACAGTGGGAGGGGAACAGAGTTGGGAATGGACAACTACACAGCTGTGTAGTTTTACACTGTAAATAACTGCGTTAGGCCACTCCAGCTTTGCAGTTTGAGCCTCATTTGAGCGTGGAATCCTTTCCTGGGTGTACCCAGATGTGAGGTGTACCTGGAGGTGCAGTTTTGTCCCTGTAAAGCGCAGCTGGGTTCAAGGGAGCCGTTATTTAACGTGCCATGTTGTACAACCCTGTGGGTATCTCTCAGCCCGTCTCCATGGCTGTTCCAAAGCTGTTTTAATTGGCTTGTTACACTAACATTTTTCCCTGGGAACAGAAGGATTTCTGGAAGAATTTGCAAGTAATGTCCTAGTTCTAAATGACTACCCTGTAACCAGGGCTGGAAAGCCCAGGCTGGCTGCTCAGCATCAGAATGACTCATCTCTCGGCTGGCCATCCAAAAACCAGAGGTGCACTCAACCAGATTCTGCTGCAGATTATTTCTGCCACCCTAACGTGATTAGATCCTGTCTCAGAACGTGACCCAGAATCTCATAACCTCAATCTCATAACCCACCCTTAGGTGGAACTCAGTCTGCTCACACAGGCCCTAGAACCAGCTCCTGCTCACTCCTAGTGCTGCAGAGCCAGACCAGCAAGTGACAGACCAAGAAAAAGCAAAGATCTCCATTGTACTTTGTGCTTTTGACTAAAATATAATCCCTTTCTTTTATGAAAATTATAGCTGATGAATAATGAAGTCTTGCATCAATTTTTTCTCAAAGGGATGGAAAAAAGAGCAACAACCAATTTAAAGATCATGCCTGAAAGGCATCAGAATAGATTGAGGAGCTGTGCTTCTCTAAAAACAGTTATCACCTACACCATGATGTCCTAACACCATCTTCTGAGCTGCACACCCTGGGATTTGGATCATAAAGTCACATATACCATAGTGCAAAACCCCCACCCTGTTGTGAACATAAACAGAGCCTTACCTGTGCCCGTGAGCTGCTGAGTGGCTGAAGCAATTCATGTCTTCGTGCAGAGATGAGGACATTCCATTGACTTCCAGCATGCTCAGGAGGGGATCTGCACCCCTGCTTAGCAGCAAACTCACCAACTCGTAATTCCCTGGGGAAAAATGGACAGAAACATCATGATGGTTCCTCTCTGGGAGCATAAAAAATAGGAATGGGAACAGGCAGGGCTCCTTTCTCTGTTCTCATTAGATGGAGGAGTGAGACCCAGCACCGTGAGTATCAATATCCCTTCAATAAATCTTGCAGCAGAGCAAACCAGAGACTCGTCATAAAAGCACAAAAATAAAGCAGAAAGAAATCAAGGAAAAAAAAAAAGTAAAACCAGTTAGAGGTGAAAAGTATTGAAAAACAACAACAACTGGCACAGAGCTGTTCCCAGAATGTCCAACTCCTGACAGCCCTCTAGAAAACATGCACAATTTTACTTGTACTTAGTAAACTAATAAAACAAATTTCTTTACATAGCAGTTATTCTTCCCCAGGCTGGATTTAAACCAGTTAATTTTTTTGCATCTGGATCTGACTTTTAGATCCACAACATGCCTGGACTGGACAGGGCTGGTTTGTGTCTCTTTGCAGAGGAGCTGGTGCCGCCAGCTTTGCTGTGGTGGCCTCTGGGAGGAGGCGAGTGTGGGACTAATTGCAAAAGCAGATAAGCAGGGCCCAGCAGGCCTGTGGAAGCAAGAGATGGAGCGTGCTGGGGTCACAGGGAGCTCACCTGCAGCCGAGGCCAGCTGGAGGGGCGTCTCGGCGTAGTTGTCCTCTCCAGTGTTCACAGCAGAGCCCTCAACCTGGGCACCAGCATCCAAGAGCAGCTGCAACAGGCACGTGGGAGACAGGGAGGTGGGAAAAGAGCAATTCAGAAGGGCAAAACAGAAGGGGCCGTGTGTTAGGAAGGAAAACCAGCGGATTCCCAGTGAGGAGGGCACGCACGCAAAGGCTACCTCAAAGTAGCAGTTATGGGGCAAATTTCTCTTGCATTTCCTCACTCATTCCTCAACATGAATGGCAATTTACAGTTTTCTTCTTTCCTTTTGTTTATTCTGAGTTTATTCTGGAAAGGGGCTCAGCTGGCAGCCTGGAGAACATCACCACCTGTTTTTTATCTCCTTTATGGACGTGCCTTTGCAATTGCAATTTCCAGCTCCAAAGAGCCCTGTGATCAGAGCCTCTCTTGAGCACAGGAAGTCCATCTCACTCAGGTTCATGGTGTGTGCAGGAAGCAGGGTTCCCCCAGGGAACCAGCCCTGGAGCTGGTCATGGAGCCTGCTGGATAAGGAGCTCTGGCAGCTGCACTGATCTGTCACACAGAACCTGCTTTCACTGAACCACCGAGCTGCCTGTGAGGGGAGAACCCCCTCACAGATGAAGGGGACAAGGTTACAAGGTGATGGGGATGTTTTATGGCCAGGTGGGGCTGGCAGATGGCACTGGGGGTGGGACAGGGCAGGGAGGACCAGCCCTGTCTGTGTGTACCCACCAGGATATTCTGGCTGTGGGGAGTGCAGTCCAGCAGGAGCTTTGATATACTTGGCTTCGTGTCCTGGGAGAATCAAACTCGTATCTTACATGTAAATTAAGGCTGCCCAGGCAATTTGCCAGGTGGAACCTAATCTTTATAATTATTTTAAAATGTTACACAAACGATGAGTGTGTGCAGCCTCAATTTACTTACATATTTTTTTCTTTCCCTTTGAGTAGAAGGTAAATTAAATTCATCAGCAATTGACTATCTGCTGTGATCAGTTTGTAATACCTATGGAAGTCCGTGTAGGATTTCCAGGACTCCACTCCATTTTGCTGCCCCTTAATTCCACAGAACAGGGAGCAGGGAGGATGTGACGGGCTCAAATCCCATGACAGCGTAAGTCTTAGTCATGCAATTTTCAGGGATTATAAAGAAAGTTACAGATGATTTGCTGCCATTAGAGCAGAAATCAGCACACACTGAATTTTTGCAATGTAAATTTATAAACCAATTAATATCTACTGTCAGAAAGCTCCTGATCGAGCAGTCAAACTGTAACCCTGCACATGAAGCACTGCTTTGTCTAATACTAAAGAAATGATTGTGCACCACTGTTCCTGAAGCAGTAAGCCTTGGACCAATACTGAAACCAAAGAAAAATGAGGAAACACTGCGTTTTGTTAGGAATTCCATCATCATTTTTCCTTCTCCTCCTTTCCAAACACGCTGTTTTTTTAGGAGGCTCCCACCAAACTGCAGGTGGAGCCTGGGCCACATCTGCGCTCGGGAAGGCTGACACTGAGGGTCACTTCAGCCCCTCCAGGTCTGCTGAAGGATTCCCACCCGGAATCTCACCTGGACCACGGAGATGTGCCCGTGCAGCACGGCCAAGGTGAGGGCAGTCCAGTGGCGGCTGTCGGGGTGCACCGAGGGGTGTCGAGGAGAGGAGCTGGGAACCTGGCAGGAGGAACCGGGCAGTCATTCCCTCTGTGCCTCTCAGCCACCACCTCCAGACATGGCTTTTCCTTTGTAAGCCACTTAGAGAGCACTGCTGCCACCAGTCCCCTGGGCCTTTTTAATGGGCTCACTGCTTTCTCCTCATGGCAGTCCCTTCCCCTCCCCTCGCCCCCGTGCCTGTCAGACTTGCCAGTGCAAATCGTAATCGCAGTCACCAAATTCTCCAAGAGGTTTGGAAGGTTTTCTCTCTCCCCCCTCCCAAATCCCTGAAGACATGCTCTCTGAAAGAAATTCCTAGCTTGAAGCTTCCAGAACTGAAGCCTTTAGTTTCTAGAAGGAATTTCATAGCTGCTCCTTATCAGTACACAGATGAATAATTAGGGAGAGAGGGTCCTCTGCTACTCACTGTTATATCTAAATTTGCTCCAGCATCTATCAGCATTTGGACCATGGCTTCATCTCCAGCAGCACAGGCGTACATGAGGGGGGTCATACCCTTGAGAAAGAAAAAGGAAAATCAAGTTATCTTTCTGTATCTGTCAACAGTGACACTGTCACGGACACAGGGAGTTTGGATCTTGTGCGTAGGGACACCATAACATATGTTTTTAAAACAGTTTTACATGTAGAGGTGGACAAAACATCAGGGGACAAGGCTGCAAGAACACAAAAGGCATCACTGAAAATCCTTGCTGTGTATTGTCCACAATTCTCGAGGATTCTCAAGGCTGCCAACAAAGAAACAGCATTTCTTGGCTCATTTGTAGCCAAATGAACTGAAAGCAGAAAGCAACACAAAAATACAGAAGATGAATTCATTTGGCAACTTCTCCCCATTGCTAAAATCCTATTTGCCACAATATTTCAGCTTTTCAATCCCATAAATCTCTCTCTCTCTACTTAACCAGCAAACCATGACAGCTCAGAAATGAATTATGAGAGAAATGAGCCTTACTTATGGAGTTCATTCCAGAAGTAGCCAAGGACAGAAAGGAAATGGCCTAGTAAAATCCATTCCTGCTCAAATCCTATGACTTTCCTGCCCCCCTCCCCCTGCCCCTTAATTATTGCAGGCATTTGAATTTTTCACTGGCAGCATCTCTGTTGCTCAGTGGGTAACAATAATACAGCTTCATCCTCACTGGGACCTGTACTGTAAAATGGAATTACACCTCTCACACAGGAGTTCTGCTCTTGAATCTGCAAGGCATCTTTTCCAAGCAGCCACAATTCCAAGTTTTCCTGCTTTGAGGCAGTTATAGGTACAAGTCTTTACAAAAAAATCTTTACAAAGGTCTATCTGGGTGAGGGGGTTTGGGAGGATCCCCTCTCATTAGAGACAAATAAACTGAGAATTCAAAACTCAGGTGTGCAGGCATGAGCCCGTATTTCCTGCCCCAGGTCAGGGTTCTAACATTACAGACTTACATTTTCCTTTTTTGAATTTTTAATACTAGTTTTGCATTCCCTGCTTGTTCCTCAGTATGCAAAGGGAAAAAGAGAGTGTTTTCCTAAAAATCTCAAATCCCATGAAACCAGAGTGCTGCCCAGTCCCCACTAGAAGGGAATAACAGGGTCCTGCTCCAAATTTGAGTTTCTGAGCATGTGTTCTGAGTTCTTTTCCAAAAATCCCCACACTCATAGATGGAGAATTGGGTCTGAACATGCTCACACTCTGGGAATGGTCAAAATTCAAACCTGGACCTAAAGCCTCTGTGTTCAATTAGTCCAGCAGTCCTGCCTAAAACTTTTGCTGCACTTGGCAGGGAAGAGATGGCCACACCTGCCTGTGAGGCCTTGCAGGTGCCACCAACTGTGCAACCTGTTAAGGAGGTGCATCATGACCAAAAGAACCCAAATACATGAGCTGATACATTCTATCTTACGACAGGACACTCAGACCTGTTTTATCTTGTCGGTTTTCCCAAGTCTGGGCACTCTGCCTTTGGCTTATTCCTTATTCCAGGAAGGGCAAACCAAGCTGGTGGCAAAACGCAGCTTTGGTTTCACACTCCAGCTGGGGCAGAGCTCGCCCCTAGAACTTGGGTTTCACTCTGTGTGGAGCTGGCAGTGCCAGGAAGGATCAAGGGGAGAATTTCCAGGGAACAATGTCTCCAGAGGGGGCCTGTCCTGCCCTTCCTGGCTGGTGCCAAAGCACTCCTTGTGTGGCAAAGATGACAGAGCTGCCCCGCTCACAGCTGGGCTGGTGAGAGGATCCCATCAACAGGGTGGCAGTGAGACCATCAATGAGTGACAGCAGGAACTCCTCAAACTTCCAAGGAGCTGTTTACAAGGGTCTCCACATGTACAAAAGCCAGACAGCTCCCAGTTTTCTGGCTGAATGGGAAGCAGGAAACACCCTGCAGCGAGAGGTGACAGCCTTGGCACCGTCGTCTGTGGTGCTGGGACAGTACAGTTCACACGGCAAAATAATCTCTCAGAGAGCAAAACAGAAACAGGAACTGCAAAATCCATTTATAAAAAAAATTAATGCAGCAAGTGGAAAACCTTCATAATGTAAATATGCCACCTTTGTTACTTTGCCAGAGTGAGTACCAAGGGCACCCATGAGGGGATGCCCACCTCTGTGACCACAAAGCCTGTGGCACTGGGTATGTAAATAAGGCAACTACATGTATTTCTGCCTAGATATATTTCTGCTCTGTTTGTGTATCTATCTACACCTCCTCTAAAACTGCAGGATGGTGGGAAGTACCAGAGAAGATGTGCCAGGTTCAGAATTTGGTCTGAAATGCTACTGCACTACAATGCTGTCTGTGAGAAAACCTCTCTGCATGAACATAAACCCTTCCCCCTGCTCAATATCCTCTTGTTTCAGAGCCATGACAGCTCATTCTCCTTGCTGTGACAGCTGTAACGAGTGTTTATTTGGGGGAGGTGGGTTTTTTTTCCTTTTTAAATTAAAAGCTAATTCCATGCATTGAATGATGCCCCAGAGGACAGAGTCTGCTGTAACTTGATGGGACTGACAGCATGAACAGAAGCAGCCAGAGATTCCCAGGACTACCAAATCCCTATGGTTCGATGGAGCTGAGCAGGGAACAGGTAAAAATGAGTAAACAGACACATCAGCACGATGGCCTTTGACCAAATCTAGCACTGACTGATGCCACCACTGGGGTTTTTGATGCTGTTTCCTGTATTCCAAACTGTTCTGAGCCTGAAAACCATCAGACAGCAACACCTTCTGGTCACTCATCACTGCCCCAGGCTGGATTTGGGCTGCTGAAGCAGAAGAGAGTGTCAGTGGCAAAAACCACTTTGTTTTGACATCACACTTTCCATTCACTGCCTGTGTATTAACCTGTCTGCCCCCAGTGCCCGAGACAGCCCATCCAAGGGAGAACAGACCTACATTCCAGCTGATAAACAATTCACTCCAGCCTCTGATGGCCTTTGTCAGAGGGGCAGCATGAGAGTGGCGTGGGGGGATTTGAGGGGTTATTTTTTTATATTGCCAGACTAAAACATGAGCTAGAATTAGAAAATCCTGGGAGAGGCAGCAAACACGACCTGGTGCATTGATTTGCCACGTGGAAAGGAACATGGGAGTTGTTCAGGCAGAGAATTTGGGGCTGTGTTGGTGTTCTGGGACGTACCTGGTCATCCATGGTGTTCACCCCGTCGGGCCCCAGCGCGTCGATGGCTTGGTTGATCAGATCCGTCCTCCCGCAGTTCAGCATCCGGAAACCCAGGTCCTGCTGGAACTTCTCAGTAGCAGCCTTAGCATCCAGCCTCCGGAAGGAACTAAAGCAGCACTCGGGTCTGTGGGAGACAAAATCGTTCCTGGATGGTGCCCAAGCCATGACAGGCCCTGAGCAATCCGGGAGAGCAGCAGGACTGAGGTTCCTGTGCTGTGCAAACCTGCAACAACCAGGTCTCCTTAGTCCTACTTCTCAAAAACCCCCTTTTGTTTTAAATAATTATCTATATATAAATATAAATAAGTATCTATACATAAATTATCTATATATGAAAATTATCTATAAATTATCTATATAAAAATAAATTATAAATATATATATACTTGTATTTCTCTGCCTGTTATAGTCCATCAAGCATACATAAAGCACATTGCAAGGAGGAGAAAGAGGTGGAGAGAAAGCGTGCTTATTATACCAGTGTCATTCTAGGATGCAAGAGTTTTGCTGCCTGCTTACCAGACTAGCTGTTATTTTGAAATAAAAGACATTTCTGAAAGAAAATATATATCCCTTAGTCTTTTCGGGGGGGGGGGAACCTTCAAAATTTAAAAAAAAAATGAAATAAAAATAAAATTTAGATAGTGGAACACTCTCAACTCTTTTCCAATGAGGAAAATGCGCTAACATTTCTATGAGGCTTCATTAACTCCTTATCCTTCAGATGAGTACCAAACAACCTTATCTCATCTGGAAGAAGCCCAGGGATTACTGTAAAACCCTCTGGTTGTCTGCTCACAGACTTCTGAATTCCAAACCTGGAAGTGTATCTATCTCCTTCACTGAAGAAGCACTTCCAAACTGGAGGTCTCCTATCTCAGCTGGGCACTGATATGGTCGGGCCTTTGATGTTATTTTGGGGTGATGCCTCCAGCACAGCCTCTTGTGCAAGCTCTCAGTGAGTGAGATATCACCCTGCCAAGTCCCTCTGATAAATGAGATGCTTCCAGCACAGCTAAACCTCTTCTGGAAACTCTGGATGGCCTTGCCAGAGAAACAAAACACTCATCACTTCGTGCAGAACATTCAAGTTGAGTCTTATTCACATTTTAGTTCAGCTGGTCATTTTTTCTTCTGAGCTTAATAAGCTGGACATACATAAATCTTACAGCTGGGCTTTAATAACCCTGTTCTACTGAGGTGGTTGGTACAGTAGCACGGTGCTGCAATATTATGACTTTGTACAAGAGAAGAAGAAAGAGAAAAGGAAGAATTCTATGAAAAAAAGTGAAATAAAATGACACCTTTTGAAATCCAGTGAACCTCAGAAAATAACAGTTTTTGAAGGGGTGGCACTTGTCTTTGCATATTATGCCTGTTTGCCAAGAGGCACGATTCCACCCAGAGCTATTGCCAGGAGGAACACTCACTGACAAGCCCTGCAGAGCCACCAGAGAAACACAACAGATGTGGCAGGGAGCACAGAAGAAAAGGGGGCTGTAGTTCTCAGTGTAGAGCTGCCAGGAGGCCAGCTGATGCACAAGAATTTGAAGTTAAAACGTGTGAGCTTTGCTGCTGGGGACCCACAGGCTCAGCCCATGCAGCAATTCCTGTTGTTCTGGAGCTGGACAGTGTGGTCTTCTCTGATGGATGCAGAGGGATTTTTTTTTTTTTTAAGAGCATGATAAAAAATCCTACAAGAGCTGGGGGAGAGAGCTCAGTGCTGAGTGCTGAGCAGCAGCTGTAACCACAGCAGCATTTCCACATGTGAGTTGTTATCCTGTGCAGAAGAGAGGGAAACCCTCGCACGCTTCCCAGAGTGAAGGCTGTGCTCCCTTGCCCAGGGAGCAGCTCCCGTGTCCAGGGAAGGGACTGGAGAACTGGAGGTGGACTGGGAGGAATCAGGGAGGCAGAGCAGGGGTGGGATAGGGCTGAGGTGTCCCAGTTTGGGAAGGGATATTTTCAGAACAGAGCAGGAACGTGGTGTGCTCTTTGCATTCCGTAAGCAGTAACTACTGCTGGAACTACTGGAAACAAGTGGGCTGAACTACTACTGGAATCACTGGTAGTAAGTGATTTAAACTACTACTGGAATCACTGGACACAAGTGATTTAAATTTGCTCTGCAGTGAGGACAAATGATAATGATAAAAACACTGTGTGCTAATAATATTAACCCCTCCAAGACTTCCATTTAAGTAAGTGGAAGGGAAATACAGCTCTCTGCAATCCAACATTTCCCCAGTTAGATTCTCATTTAACCAATACCAGGTGAGTGCTGAGGATGTTTATAAACCATCTGGCAAACATAAACTGAGAGCATCCTATTAGAAGGCTTCACCCACTGAGACACAAACAGTTGTTGTGGAGGACTGTGGCAGAGAATAGATATTAGAGGTCTGAATTTTAGGTTATACTAATTATACTCTGGTTTTCTGCACAACTTCTCTTTCAGGGATGTCAACATACCCTACTAGTGCATCACCACTGCAAGGAACATCATTATTACTATTATTATTATTATTATTCAATAAACAGACTTTTAGCTTGTGCTTCATATGGAAAAGGGAGTTGCAATTTGCCTACAGTCACACAGCAAGCCAGGGATAAATCAATCAATCAATCAGTTCCAAGATTTCCTTTCCCCCTAAATGTGCTGGATACAAAAGACTGCCTTAAAGGATCATATAAAGGGCACTGGGAATGAAGGATTCCTCTCTCTTTTCTGTTATTCTAAATCTTTCATTCAAGGTATCCTAAAAAGGAAAGAATAATCTTGTAATTAAGGCATAAAAAATCCCCCAAATCCTCGTGTTTCAGCCATTCTCTGTCTCATTCTTACTTTTGGCAAGAGAAAAGTCCCTGTAGCGTTTGGCCAAAGCTGCTTTACCTCTTGGAGTGCCTAAAGGTTCAACAGGTATCGCTGTGGAGCACTGCGAGCTCTGGCTCCCAGGAAATGCAGGAAGAAGGATATTCTAAGAGTGCCACAGCTACTGTAGGTGCTTACAAAGCTTAGGCCACGTACTTGAGCTGCCTGGGCTCGCAGTCCAGCCCGGGCAGGAGCAGCCTGGCCGTCTGCCTGATGTCATCGCTGTCCACGCTCAGGCTGCGCCGGTGCTCGGCGTAGGTGATGGCCACTCTCATCCACTCCATCAGCGGGGGCAGCAGCATGAAGGGGCTGTGGGAACGAGAAAAAACCCATCATTTAACACTGCCTGATGCAGAAGGACACTTCATTGCTTTCCAGATGGGAGGCTGGCACGGGCAAAACCCACCTGGGGAGGTGAACTGTGCTCAGAGACTGGTGGGTCACAGCAGGGGGAAGGAGGTGGAACTGCTCAGCCTTGGCCATCTGAGCAGCTCCTGACCAAAAACAGGGCCATGCTGGTCTCACTTTGTACTGAGACTGTTGAACAGAAGGGACCTTCTTCTGCTCTTCTCAGCTACAGGACAGGCCCCTCCAGTGCTTTGCTTTGGATCAGAGGGGTTCTCACCTCAGCATGGAGCTTATATGATAATTGTGTGTTCTAAATAATCCATATGTACAGGCTGCTCCACCACCAGGAACGTGCAAAATCTCCTGGATTGTTGGACACTTCAGCTAAGCCAGGCTAATTCACTCCTACTTCCATTAAGCTTTACATCACCACTAGCTAATAGCTTTTCACATCCCACATTTCTCAGGCCTCCATTTCTGCCCACCTGACCCTCCAGAGCACGGCAAAACTGCTGGAGCAGGGAGGTTTGACTCCATGTGAAGGGTTTCAAGGCAATGAAGGGTTATAAATAAGGTAATAACAAGAATGAGCACAATACTGAGACCACACGTTAATATATAGGTACCATAATACTCTCATACACAACATATCTCATCCACCCTCTCAATGAACAGCCAGACTGATCTATTATGTGCCTGATTTTTCCCCAAGGATACCTGCCACCCCGGTGGAAGGCTTGGAAGTGCCAGCTCTCCCATTTCCAGCAGTGACCTTATTAATGCCGCAAAAACAAAAAAGCCTTTTCCATTAAAGCATTTAAAAGAAAACAGGGGAGAAAGTACTGGTTCCTTTACAAAGTTCAGAGAGAAAAAAGGCACAGATGAGGAAATGAGAAGTGATTTGGGCATTAATGAAAGCAGCTGAAGCCACGAAAGGCATTTGCAAAGCTCTGTGTGTGTCCATGAGCACTCTCACGTGAGAGCAGTAAGAGTGAGCAGCACCAATCCCGTCAGAAACCATTTATCCATAATGGGATCTGCAAGCAGAACTCCCTTTGTTACGACTTTGAACACCCTTGAGGTGTTCAGCAACTCCACTCTGTAAAATATGTGCTCTTTCCATTTTACCAGTTGCAAGGTGCGCCCTGAAATGCTGCCACTGTCACTTGGCATCCACATCCACTGTTTTTCCCCTCTTCTCCTTCTTTTCTGCTGAGTGGAGAAGCAGCATCTACAAAATCAGACGTGTTTTAAGCACCTGATCCATCCTGGATTGCCAAGACAAAGGTGTTTCTAACAGGACTGTTGCTACCATTTATTTTATGTCACAGACTGGGAATATCAGGGTTGGTACATTTATCACTCTGAAAATCACCCGGTAGCTCCTCTGAAAAGAATGGAATGGGATGAATCACTCCAGCCCAGCCAATTCAGAGCTGAATGACTTCCCTAAGGGAAGAGCAGCAACAGGCAGCAGGCATTTGGGAGCTGCCTTTCAACAGCCTGTTCCAGGGAACTTCAACCCTTACTCGGCCTGCAAGGAGGCAATTTACACTTTTTAAATTCAGGTCCTTAAGGGAGGAGCCAAAATTAATTATTTATACTTTCTATGACAGTGCCCAGTATGGGATTCAAACTCTGTAGAGCAGAGAGAGGTAGGTAAGAAAGGCTAAAAGCATCAGAATTAAACACAGAATTAAACTAAAGTTGGATGGGGTGAAAAGCTCAGGAGCACTGGAAAAGCTCATCTTCCAAGCAATTATATCTGCCACTTTTAATGGCAGATAAAGATTTAGGCCACATCCCAGCTTCCCTGACACTCCCAAGGATGGGAACATTGCTGGACAAGGAACCATGTGGATCCAGCCCTCATCAAACCTTGGGAACTGTTACTCATGGCACTGGTCAGCCAACAGCAAATACCACGGAGTCTGCACCAGAAATTACACCTACATTTCCATTCTCTAAAAAAGTCACATGTGCCAGGGTTATAAATGGCTTCCAAACAAGCCATTTGAATGTGGAAAACCTGCTTTGGGAGGAATGGGAAAGAGAAAAGGGTGGGTTTTTTTGGTTTCTTTTTTTAATCTCAACAGATTTTTTCCAAAGACTTTAAAAGTGACAGCTCAGACTTCCTGGTTACCCCGTGCCCAAAGGGAAACAGGCTTTGGATTGCAAAAGGCAGTGTCAGGAAGGATGTTCTCCTCATAATGCTCTTCTGATTTTCCAAACCCCACCATGGGCATTGCTGTGCAAGTTGGATAATTCATTCTTTATTACCCATTATTCTATCAGGCTGACAATAATGAAAAACTGCAAAATCCAATTGCTATTTTGCTGTAAAAACTTTTACTTCTCTCCCAAATTTCTAGCTTGAGGATGGGCTTCCTATTCCTCCCTCAGCCCTTTTATCCAGCTATTTCCTTTCTCCAGACCACGGGAACAGCTTTATCTTTGCTCCCTGACACTCCACCAGGTAAGCTGCACTGTCACAGAACTGAAGCAGGAGGAAGAAATATCGAATAAAACACCAACACTGGGTCACATTGCAATAAGAAAATAAATGCAATTATTCATTTGCTAGAAAATAAAACACAATTCTCATCCCAGTGGCCCTTAACCTGGGCATCCATCTGCCCCCAGGGAATCACTGATCATTTCACAGTCTGAAAAACACTGCAGGAGGGGAAGGGGAGAAACCTTCATGGAAAATTAACTGGGAGATGCTGCAAGCTAAAGAATTAATTTCTGTCTCTGCATTCCTGTCTGTGCCACGTTCTGCAAAGTGCCATTTTCCTCTGGTCTTTTTGACATTTAGAAGCATTTGGCAGCTCATTAAATTCCACACATGGAGTGATCCAAGCCTTGGGAAACTGTCACACCGCAGCAGCAGCTCACTGGGGACACACTCCCTGTGATGTCTGATGCTGTCATGTGCTGTCAATATTCCATCCATAGGCTCTTGGAAATTCTCTCCATTTAGAACTGGGCAGCCCCTCCATTCCCAAGGGGATCAGGCTGGAGCTGGGTGAGCCGTGCCCAGAGAAAGACTGGACCTCACTGTGGGCTCTTCCCCCTCATTTGAACTAAACCACGTTGTTTTATTGGACACAACCAAGGAGGCCAAGCAGCATCTGGCAGAGGTTTTAGATCAGTTTTATAGGAACTTTTTCCTGGAAAAAGGTACTGGCTTGTGGAGATCACGTGCAGCATCCTAGAGGAGAAGCTGTGGGACCTCCTGGGTACCAGTTCCTACTGGGGAGAGTCTGACTGGACACAAAAGGAAAACTTTCACCATGAGAACAGTCAGCCACTGGAACAATTTCCCAAGGGAACTGGTGGATTCCTCAAGACTGAACACCTTTAGGTTTGTCTGTAGAGGGTGCCTCGCCAATTTGCTCTTGTCAAAAAAGGTTGGACCAGGTGATCCTTGAGGTCCCTTCCAACCTGTGTTCTGTGACTCATCTATCACAAAGAAACCAGTCCCCAGAGTGGGCTCTTCTGAGGGTTTTTAAGAGTGTCGAGATCCAGGCACTTCTGGCAGAGGGAAATGAATTGTATATGAAAAGGAAAAGGCTCCAAGAGTTGGAAAATTATGTCATCCCTCCTCTGCACTGAACTCCGGGACAATGCCCTGGAGCTGGACTCTCAGGAGTGAGGAGTATCTGCTCCCTCAGGTGAAAACAGTGGGTTTTCCCAGAAAAAACAGCCGTGCTGCCACGTTCCTTCCTCCTCCCTGGGTCCCCAGGAGGGTCCTGGGATTACTCTGCTGAAGAATCACAGAACAGTTTTGGGTTGGAAGGAACCTTTTAAGATCATCTCATTCCAACTCCAGGAACACCTTCCACTGGACCAGGTGGCTCTAAGCCCCATCCAACCTGGAGTTAAAAAAGGAGCAAGAAGGAGACATTTTCCCTGCAGCCACACCTTCTCCCTGCTGTTTTTCACTGCCTCCTGTTTTGCTCCAGCAAAACAAAGCAGGAGCCAACAGTGACAGCAACAGCAAGAAAGAAAAGCCTTGTTCTTCTAAACAAAACTCTCCTTCTTCTAAAGCAGGGAAGAAATGACTGTCCTAATGGAAGCAGGTGAGAAGGGCAAGATTCACCTCCCTCTTGGCAGCCTGGGCAGGTCCTGAGTCACACGTGCACAGCCTCCCACCCTGCCTGTCCCATGGGCTTCTCAATGCTCTGAGGGAAAAGTTTTCTCTTCCCTTCATCTGTAACTGCTGCTTTGTAAGTCCTTGCTAAGGTTTTAAATACACAGACTTTAGCATCCAAAACATGTGTAAGTATCACAGTACTTTTAATAAGAGTGGGGTAGTCCACAGTAAATCCCCATATTTGATTTCTGGAAATATACAGATTCTACTGCAGAAAAGAATCCCAAATCTTTAAAGATCAGTGTGTGTTTTTGCAAGGGACTGGAAAAAAAAATAAATTTTCAGTGCACTAGAGTTTGAGTTTAATGCTGGAACCAAACTCTATGGCTCAGTCCCACCTTGCCCTAAAATATAAGAGCTCAAAGTCACTAAGACTTTGCACCAAAATGGAAAAATCCCAAGAATGGCAGCAGAGTGAAAAATAAATCAGAGTGAAGTCTCATTAACTGGAGAAAAGACTTTGAGGCAAGACAGAGTATCCAAAACCCAAACCATGTCATGCTAATGTGGAAAACAGTGGCATATTTATAATTTGGAATCTCAAACACTAAAATCCCTCTTCAGGCAGCAGGAAAAAAAATAATATCTCAGAGTATGTAATTACATGTGAATAAAATAAAAACAGAAATACTAATTCAGAAAAAACACAAAATCTTTGCTCCAAAGTACAACCAGCCTCAGTCATGAGCCATTCCTCACAGATTTAAAAATATTTTACACAATTTTAAAACTTCCCACATTTACAGAGAAAAGACAGGAATTACTGTGCTGGATCCTGTTCAAGGATCATCTCAACACATGC